AATGTCTCTGGTATATGGTTGTTCATTATTTTTGTTACTTTCTCGCCTGGTCCATTATACTCCTGCTATGAGTGAAACCATCCGGTATTTTTCTTTCTCTTTCTGCATAAATAATTTTTGAAAAAAGAAGAAGAAGAAGAAGAATCTCTACTCCCAGAGCTTGGAGTATTGTCATTTATGCAACTGAATAATAAGTTTTTTGAATAAAAAAGTTTCCAAAAATCTCAGAATCTCAAAAATGATAGGCACACCTCATAAAATTTTACTTGATAACTCTTACTGGTATTAAATGCTTAGCAAACATTTAAATCTTTTATTTGTATAAAGCTAAAAAGTACATGAATTTTTTTTTTTAAGATTTATTTATTTGTGCATACAGAACTGGGGTACAGGCCAGAGGCCCAGGGGCGGTGAGTGGCTTCACCAGAGACAGAGTGAGGAACAGAACAGGCAGATCGACGACGATGTACACTGCTGAGGGAAGCAGTGGGCAGGTCAGGAGAGGTCTGCCACACCATGTGGTCACCGCCGGGGCCGGCGGGAATCGAACTCATGCAGAAGCGGCTTTAGATTCTCAGTGCTGTGTTTTAACCCGCTGCGCCACCAGGGAGGGCTAAAAAAAAAATACATAAATTTTACTTGTTTACCTTTAGAAGTTTAACTTTTTAAACCTAACTTTTTAAAGAGTTTACGTGTTTGTTTTGCAGAGAGTTGTTTTTCAGTAGAACATTTAAAACTATGGCTTAAGCTGAGAAGTTTCCCTTTGGCCTGATACAGATCATACTCTGAAAAAAAGAGAGGTCTAGTTACCTAAGACTTGCATTTTTTCTAGGTGAAGAAGTGGCAATTTTAATGTTGCATGATAGCAAAAGCAACCAAGAAGATGAAAGCTGAACAAATCATTCCTCTTATTAGGTGTAAAAAAGTCACTTATGTAGCATGTATTTTTCTGAAAAATATATTCTAAATTATATTTAAATTTAATTAATATTTAAATGTAAGAAAGTTATTTTGACCTCTTACCTTAATTTTATGAATGTAGTTTCTATTTTTCTCCAGGTTTTTGAGAGCACTTACTGCAGAAAACATCTTTTGAATACAGTTGAGGCTGGTTTTCTCCCTACCCCCTAGATATCATAGGACTATTTGTAGTTATTTTCCTGTTACAGTACTTTGCTTATCTTTTTATTGAGTTGCTGGACTTTCTTTTTGATCTTTTGGGGTCTTTATCTATCTGGAGGTTTGACCTATTATGTAAGGAGTTGCAAAAATAAATTTCCCCATGGGAATAAAAGAATTCCCTACACTCCTAGAAATAGTGTTTTATAATCATGGTAACAGCCAACAGAACAGGTTAGAAAACCTGTCTAATCAATCAATGCCAACTTGATTCATTGACTACATCTCTAAAAACCAACCAATCAATGACAGCCTCATGTTTTGAAGGTCAGCTAATCAACAGCAGTCTCACACTTCCAGTATAACCAATACCCTGGTACTTCCTGAAACTCCATATGAGAAATCATTTCCTGTACAATGCTGACCATCTGACCTGATGCCCGACCCTTCTTTAAGCCAATAAGCTCAGACTTGGGGTCTCAGTTTTGGTCTCATATTTTGACATCAATTGCCATTTTTTCCTCTTGACTTTAGTTATGATGCTTTTTTCCCATGCTGGAATTTTTTTTTAAGATTTATTTATTTATGCATACAGAACTGGAGTACAGGCCAGAGGTGCAGGGGCGGTGAGAGGATTCACCAGAGACATAGTGGGGAGCAGAACAGGCAGATCGAAGAAGTACACTGCTGAGGGGAGCAGCGGGCGGGTCAAGAGAGGTCTGCCATGCCATGTGGTCACCTCTGGGGCAGGCGGGAATCGAACTCATG